TAATATAAGTGTATAAATGATTGAGGTATTCTGATCAAATTTTAAATTTTGTTGCTTTCAAACTTACTGCTTCCATTTTGTGTGATTTAGGCCCATTTGGCATGCGATGTGTTTTTGTCATTGTGTTTTTAGTCAATATCAAAACAACCGTTTTATTGTATGAGTGTTTTGGGTAGTAATCAGAACTGTTTTGTTGTACGGTGTTTCGCCGGAATATCACTTGGTGGGTGGCCAAAAACAATGATGTTTCGCCGAAATATCATTAAGTGGGTCGTCGGAGAGAGTGTTAGAGAGATAAAGAGAGAAATAGGTAATAGGAAACTTTTTAAAAGGTAGAGGTAATTTTGCCCTAATTGTATTAGTATTTGTATGATTTTGTATAGATTTTGTATAAGTTGTTGTAATAGTAATTACATTATGTTAAATGGTTTTATACACCCATTCTTCTTTAATACCGTCACTTCTTGAATTATAGCCTAAAAAGTTGTCATTTATAAAATTTTCCCTATAATGATCTTCTTTAATGTACAATATTTAATTCTTTAATGCATTGTATCATAAAAACACATGTGAGTATTGGGGTTTTAGATCTAACAATGCTTGTAAACATGGTACAAAATGTTGGAACAAAATCCTCTCCTGCGCTAAAGGAGAACCAGTCCCATCCGGTGAGTTACAATGGTAAAGATTAAAAATTGAAAAAGTAAACCTTTTTTTTCCCCTAAATGACGGAAATTTTATAAATTTATAAAGTAAAAATACAATTACACACGAGGAAAAACCTCACAATATCCCACAGATAGAGGGATACACTAAGAGAAACCCTAGAAAACAAAAGAAAATTCAAGACACTATAATATCCTGGAGGCATATCCCTAAGACATCTATAGCATCCTAAATAATACATTTAACCAAGACCATGGGATCTCTAGAGCCCTCATCATGTAACCTACGATTCATTTCATTCCAAATGAAATACAAAGTGGCAGAAAACACCATCCTAAGCAATTTATTCCTAAAAGAATTTGTCTTCAAATGTTGCACCAAAACTATCTTGAATCTCTCGAAAGAAAGCCAATCTCAGTGTCCCAACTCAAAAGCTCCCCCAAACCATCTTAGTAAGCACACATTGACAAAAAACATGCAAAGTACTCTCCATATTCACCAAACATAAAGCATATCTAAAAGCTAACTGAACTCCTCTTCTTTTTAGATTTGAATGAGTTAAAACCCCTTCCTAAAGTGTTAACACTGCAAGTGTTGACCATCTAGGTCACATCTAGAAGTTAACTGAACTCCTCTTCTTTTTAGATTTGAATGAGTTAAAACCCCTTCCTAAAGTGTTAACACTGTATGTGTTGACCATCTAGGTATTCCCCCATTGCAACACAAATTAACCCAACTAACTTCTGGTTTAGAGACCCATCAAACCTCCCATGCAGCTCTGAAAGTAAAATCAACCTTCTGCCATAACACTTTATCTGAACCACCAAGAATTTTAAACTGACGACAGAACTGAAACACCTCCTGAAGATTAGCAGAAAATTTAGACTCATCCCATGAGTTTTTAGAAATTAAATAACTTAGGGTTATGTTTTTCACATGATTCAAAACTCTCAACAGCCTATAACTAAATCTCTTAAACAAAAAACCTTCACACCAAGGATCTAAGAACCATTTAATAGAAGAACCATCACCAATTTTGTAACTACATCCCACCAACATCATCTCCCTTATTGCAACAATATTCTTCTAGGTTGATGAGTAAATATCACGAACCACAGTCTGCCAATAAGCTGCATTTCTAGCATAACAATTTCTATAACTTTTGTATATATATACACACATACATACTGAACCACCTTTAAAATTCCATATCCTGCTTTCTTCTTCATCTCAAATTTCAGTCTACTATTTTTTCAATCAAAACCATATCGACTTCTGACTCTTTTTTTTTTTTTTTTTTCTCTCTCTCTACGATCTTTCTCTACACAAACTTTAAAGAAGAGTGATTACAGAGTATACTCATCGATCTAAAGCAAAACCAGAGCTTTTCCAAGCTTCATGACAAACACAACAAAAGTTTATTGACAGTAGTGTCTAAAAAGATATGCAACTTACGACGCAAATAAATTTGAGACACTTTGGGTTGTACGTTAGAAAAATGTTGGAATGTACATTAGGAAAATATTGGGATATACATTAGGAAAATGTTGGAATGTACATTAGGAAAATATTGGGATATACGTTAGGAAAATGTTGGAACAGTAGATTTGTTCTAGCCAGTAAGGATACTTTAGGATATACGTTAGGAAAATATTAGAATGTACGTTAGGAAAATGTTAAGATACTGGTAAAGAGAAAGTTGGGATGTATATTAAGAAAATGTTGTGATGCAAGGCTAACGTCCCAACATTTTTGTAACATATATCCGAAACAAGAGAAAGAGATGAATAGTCAATCTTGGTACAAACTGATATATGTATAGATCTGTTATAGCTGGTAAGGATACTTTGGGATGTACGTTGGAAAAATGTTGGGATGTACATTACAAAAATATTAGGATACTGGTAAGGAGAAAGTTGGGATGTACGTTAGGAAAATGTTGTGATGCAAGGCCAACGTCCCAACATTTTCCTAACATATATCCCAAACAAGAGAAAAAGATGAAGAGTAGATCTTGGTACAAACCGATATATGTATATCAATATGTGTTTATGTATATATATATATATATATATATGTATGCATATATAAAAGGTTTTGTCATGCACAGTAAAATTTTGTTACTAAAAATTTGTCTTTTTTCATTTAAGTGACATGGCACAAGGAGGAACACATGTTCCTCACCGGCCGACACCGGCTCTCCTATAGCGCAAGAGAAGATTTTGTTCCCAAAATGTTGGGAATTTTCACATAAATATATTAAGAGTGATACATCAAATTTTATTCACATAATGGATAGTACATCAGGGAACAACAAATCAATGCGAATACATAATGATTTCAATAAAAATAATAATACATCAAAGAATAATATATCAACGTGAATTAATAAAACTTTCATTAACATAAATAATACGTCAAATTGAATATCATGGATAGAACAACAAATCATAGAATTTTAACCTAATAGAAATAACATCAACAATAGAAATTAAGATAGGAAAACAATGATAATAAAATAGTATGAAAGAACTGGGCTTTTTTTTTTTTAGGGAAAAAAAAAAACTAGTCTGGATATTGAAAGGCATGCGAGCATTGTCTTAAAGTCGTAAAGTCGTTTAGCCGCCCTACTTGTAGGTGATAATGGTCCAATATGACTCCAAGATACAACACATATCCACCAATGGTCTTCTACAGGCACGTCCAAAGAGAGAAAAGTTTGTACCAGCCTTGTCTTCAAAGTTGCTCCTGAAATAATATAAAATACTCTCTCTTAAGTATAGTAGTATCTCAACAAAACTCAAGGAGGAGGGAGATAGAATGATTTTTCTCAAAGATACTTCTCACACCCACATTGTCACACTTACGTATATCATCTCATAGAATGATAAATATAAAAAAAAAAATAATTAAAAAAAAAAAACTCCCTTTTATAAAGTTAAAACTTATAACGTTTATATATCTTAAACATAGAATTAAGTGTTAAGTAATAATAAGAATAAACAAAATAATTATCACAATAATAATAATAATTTAATGATAATTATGATTTTTATAAAATAGTAGTAACACAAAATGTGTTAATCAATACCAAAAATTAGCGATACTTATAGTAAGTATAAACCTAACCTTTGATAGTACTGGCATAAAATATGTATGGCTTAATTAAACTCTCATTATTGGTAAATATTCTCAAACTCTATTACTACGGTAAAGTATCTTTAGGCTCTTAAACTTTACAATTTAATTTTCTATTACTAAAATAAATAAAATGATGACATATTGATGCTTCGTCTGGTTGGAGGGTTTGAAAAATAAATGAAAAAAATAGGGAGAGAAATGAATGAGGAATCCTAGGGAAGGGACTGTGTCCCCCCTCATTTCTTTATGTTTCCCGTGCATTTTTAATATACATTTTTAAGAAAAAAATATATAAATGATATGAGAAAAATATATATTTTAAAAATATATATAAACAATAATAAAGTTGTCATTGTCCAGTATTTTATTTATTTTTCCTTCTCTTTAAATCATAACAAATAATTTATATATTTTTATACAAAGAGAGACAGAGAGAGGCGGGGTGGGGGAGAGAGTATTAATACATTTTAACAAGGCTTATAAAATAAGAACATGTGGGTCTGTCTCTAAGAATGTATTTTTAATTTAGCTAGGCCGACCTCGTTGCCATGTCTAAATTAAGAGAGCGGTTACCCCTAAACTAGGGCTTAGGGCGAGTACCCCTAAACGAGTTGGCCCGCCACAAGCTTAGTTCAGGTCAAAAGTTCAAAACCCTCGGTTGGGCTTCAGGCCTTGGGCCTTTTTTATTACTAGTAAAAAGAAAAACACACCCACAAAAGATTAGCTATATAAACCATGTTGAGTAGGTTTGAATAAAATTGACGACATATTGTGAGTGAGTTTGAATTGAAACTGGAAACAAGGCCCAAGTGAACGTCTCTCTATCAAATCTCTCACGCAAACACATTGCCATTTATTTCTTCACCTTTGCATCATCCCAACACCAATTGATTTTTTTTTTTTTTTAACCCGTAAATAAAAAAAGGTTCGGTAAATGTCGTAACACCGAACTTTGTTTAGAAGGATTGGGTAATTGTACTAAATAATTTATGCTCCTTTTAACTAACTGCTTCTTTTAAATAATTTATGCTTCTTTTAACTAACTGCTTCTTTTAAATAATTTATGCTTCTTTTAACTAACTGCTTCTTTTAAATAATTTATGCTTCTTTTAACTAACTGCTTCTTTTAGTAAGTGGGGGAAGTCGATGTCAAAAAGGTAGCGTAGTAACAACTTTCAAAAATAATGGGATCATGAACGATACTTTTAAGAGGAAAAAAAAGGCATAGAACATAAGCAAAAGACCCACAGTTTTACATGGTTCGTCACAATGAGTGACTACGTCCATGGGCAAAAATAATTTCAAAGCTTCCATTAAGTATAAAAGAAATCTGTATCTCCCTATTCTCTACCCTTTCCTCGGTGCTTCACTTCTCTTATCTCGAGCTCAAAAATCAGAAATACAAAAGAGGGGGCGATTACGTCCACCATAATTTTTCACCAAGTACAATTTGGTGTACAACAGAAATCCATATCTACGGATTTCTGTTGTACACACCAAATTGTACTTAGGGGAAGCTTTCAAATGAAATACAAATGAAAACCAATTGGAAAGCAAGCTGATGTATTCATGGTGCTTCTATCTTGAGCTCAAAATTCAGAAATACAGAGAGGTCGTGTTTAGACGTTTAATGAAAAACCAGTTGGATACAAGCCGCCGTATTCACCATCTATCTGCAAGAAAATTAGAAAAGATGTGTTAGTCAACAATAACATAGTCTCTCTTTTATGCAGAATTGCAAAAGTCTAGAAGATATATGGTTTACCTGCAACTAGTTTAGTTTGAGAATAATACGAGATTACGTTTGCCATCATCATACAAAACATTAATGATCTTCAACGAATTCGGTTTAAGTGAGCTGGTTCCAGGTTTGCCTCGTGACTTTAATATACAATGATCTTGTGTATGTCTCCTCAACCAAATCTTTTCCAATGACACTCAACGAATCCGGTTAAAGCGAGCAAATGGCTCCGGGTTTGCCTTTGGTGCAGGTTTTGCCACTTCAGGAGTCCCAAAAACATTCCAAAATCTCAGTGTTTCATCCCCTGCTGCAGAAGCAACTGTACATCCATCCGGGCTCTGAATTATTAAACAAGAGAAATCAGAATATGATATACAACAAAAGAAGAAAAAAAAATGCTAACTGTTAAAAACAAACTTTCTGAAAAATAAAAATTTCAGATTAAGTTATTACTTGAGCCATGAAAAGAACTCTGGATGTATGACCAGTAAGCTCTGCTACTTTCACCATTGATGGGTATTTCCAAAGAGTGAGCTGATTCTGAGTAAAACCATGAGAACTAAGCAGCTCACGCTCTTTCTTATTCCACAACAGAGAGCAGACCTGAGAGCCTGTGTCAACCGAATTCAAGCATGCTCCAGTGTGGGTGTTCCAAAATTTTATACACCTGTCACCTCCTCCTCCACCAGAGGCCAGCAAGTTAACCTGGAATGGGCACCAAGCAAGTGCTTTCACGGCAGATGTGTGGTCTTCGAGCCTGTGAAGCCACTGTGTTGGGGAATTAGACGAAGCCACTGATCTGTCCCATATATGGAGGAGATTGTCATTTCCCCCACTTGCTAATTTCTGGCCTGAGGCTGACCATTTTAACCCACAAACTTCTTGATGGTGTCCCCTATAGGTTTCAACTATATGTGATCTGACTCTTACATCATTGTTGATGATTTGACCATCCATTCCTCCGGTTGTCAAAATATGATTGTTCCAATCCAGGGACCCAACTCGTGATTGATGACCACCTCTCAAAGTTCTCAACTGCAGAAGTTACACCATAGTTAAACATAGTATTAGCAAAACAGAATTTTAAAAAAGAGCTAAAAAGAATAGGTAACAAGAAAATATGTAAAAAGAGTATAAACCTGTCGATTGGCTGTAGAATCCCAAAGATGTACTTCAGAATTGTTTAAGCCAACAGCTATGTGTCGGCCATCAGGAGCCCATTTTACGCTTGTCACTGGTCCATTTTCATCATCAAGGGCGACAAGTTCTGAGGTAGAACCATCAGAAGCATCCCATAGATATACCGTGTTTCCAAGAGCAATGGCAAGAACATTGCTGCTACCCCAATCTAATAAATTCAAGTAGTAATCATCAACCAGATCGGGAGCATCTAATGTCCTCTCAGAAGTCTGCAAAACCACATTAACACCATTCAAAATCAATTATAAGAATTATGCCTAAGAACATCCATTCAATAAATCCTAATTGCAAAAACAAAAGACACAAGGAGATTCTAATTTAAAGCAGGGGTCCAAGCTATCAAACCAAACTTCTTAGTTCACCTTAGCCACTTCAAATTCAACAATCCACACACTATCCAACCAACAACATTTCTAACTAAACAGGTAATAAATTTGTGTAATTGGTAATGTCCCAAATATCCTTATAATTGATTTTGATAATTTTCAAGTTCACTCAATATTAAGAGCATCTTGTACACTTTCCAGTATCCATTCCAAATCCAAATTCAACTAATTCTTTAATACCATGAATTTCAAAAGGCATTACATATCAATAAAAGATTAGAATATGTATCCACCTGGGGAATGTACCGACAGGGCTTTGTTGGTTTGGACTGGTGAACAGATGAGGAGAAATGGTAGGGAATCGCCTCAACAGGAGTGGGGGTCTTATTCTTAAAAGCCAGTATACGGGTCCGGTTCATGTTGAAGGTTTCTGCCAGTAGCTTCTGGTATGCTTCACTGGATGGAGAGCTCACAGCCGGGTTCTCTTTGCCTTTCCTCCCCTTAGTCAGCATGTAATGCGCGTAGTCGAAATCCATTGCAGACCGATTTGGTATGAATCTATCCAACTGTTGACGCAAACAAGAAAATTACAATGAGTTCCACATAAACATGTGAATTTCAGGAAATGTATTAAACAAAACCATTGATTCATAAATCCAATTATGAAGAAAACCCTATTTTCAAGCAAATTAAGCATGAAGAGAATTGCAACAATGATAAGGAAGAAACTCACAATAAGAACCAGTGAGGCCTACAAATATAATTAGAGCTTGTATTAAAACAGAACCCTAGCTAAAGAAATATAATTATGAAAGAAAAACCCCTAGTTCTACAACCAAGCAAGAATCCTTGTTCTATATACTTACCCTAATTTGGATATGAAATCAAGAGCAGATAAACCCTAATTTTAAAATCATGTCCAAAATTAACCCTAAATTTACATATAATATTGAGAAACCAAACCCAAAATTTGATGCAGGTGAAAAACCCATCTAAATTTAGGTCATAAAGCAAAACGCATGCCAAATATGAATCCTTGTTCCCTATTTTGGATATGAAATCAATAGCAGATAAAGCCTAATTTCAAAATCATGTTAGAAATAAACCCTAATTTTACATATAAAATTGAGAAACAAACCCCAAAATTTGATGCAGGTGAAAAAAACCCCATCTAAATTTAGATCATATAGCAAAACTCATGCCAAAAATATGAATCGTTGTTCCAAACATTTACCCTAATCTGGACATGATATCAAGAGCAGATCAACCCTAATTTCAAAATCATGTCAGAAATAAACCCTACATTTTCATATAAAATTGCGAAACAAAACCCAAAATTTGATGCAGTTGAAAAACCCATCTACATTTAGATCATAAAGCAAAACTCATGCCAAATATGAATCGAGTACATATGACTATATGAGAGAATATGTCTGCTTTACATACGTTTTCTCGAGCATTTCTCCTTTGCATAAACTGTTCTTGAAGAGGGCATCGAGACTGTGTCTTGCAAATTAAGCGTGAAGAAGAGATCCTCCTAGATCCTGCATCCATAACGTTAGCACAAAAAAAAAAAAAGAAAGATACCTACAAAATCAAAAGGGAAAAGAAAAAAAAAAACCCTGCAAAACAGAAAACCAGATTAAAGAAATAGAGTTTTAGAGAGAGAAAACAGTGAGATAAAGAGAGAGAAGACGATGAAAAATCAATTTCCGGTGGCTTCGTTGATTATTGAGAGAGAAAACACCGATGAGAAATCGATGCTAGCTTCGTTGATTATTGAGAAAGAGAACACGATGAGAAATCGATGGTAGCTTCGTTGATTATTGAGAGAGAGAACACCGATGAGAAATCGATGGTGGCTTCGTTGATTTTTGCGAGTATTGATCAGAGAGAGCGATGGTGTAGTATCACACTGACTAGACAATATTTCTATATTTCAAAAATTAGGGTTTCCTTTTAGCTTGGTGTGCCCGTTGCTTACAGAATATTGCAACGGCCGGTCGATCTCGAGTTTAGAGCCGTTGGAAATTGGTTTGACAAAAATACCCTGGGTGAGGACGCTGGCTAAATTAAGATTCAGCCTTCACGGAAGGGCAATATGATAATTTTATTGGGTCTGAGAAAGATTTTTGCTCTCTTATTCAAATGTGTGTATATATATATATATATATATTTGAACCTTCAGTTTAGGTCCTATATAATTGGGTCAAGTCTGATTATCTCTCAAACCCTTATAATGTACAGTGTTTTTTGGGGTGTTTTATAAAGACCTTCCCAATGGGTATTCTGTAATCCCACTTAATTAAAATAAATATCCGTAACTCCTATCCCTACCAATTAATGTTTTTTCCTATTCGATTTCTCTCTCCTCTCTGCCTCCTACCAATGCTTAGATGAAATGAAGGTAGAAGATTGGAATTGAGGTGGCCATGGCATGAATGATTCATTGGTTCTTCATTTCTCTTCAATTTTCAGATATGTTTGTGGGTTTTGATTGAATTTTAATATGAGATCGGCTTCTGAATCTATTTATATTTAGATTTCTTCATATACGTAACCAAATTAATATGAGATCGGCTTCTTAATAATTTTATGCTTCTTTTAACTGCTTCTCTTGTTCCACCATTGAAGTCTCTTTTTCCTCACAGTAATGTGTTTCAACAGTTTCAATGTCAAAAAGAGGTTGCCCTCAGGTGTAGCCGGTAGCGCAGTGAGAACTTCAAAAAATAATGGTATCATGAATGATACTTTTAAGAGGAAACAAAAGGCATAGAAAGAATCATAAGCAAAAGACCCCCAGTTTTACATGGTTCGTCACAATGTCTGACTACGTCCATGGGCAAAGAAGAGCTTCCATTAAAGTACAATTTGGTGCGTACAACAGAAATATGTATCTCCCTTTTCTCTACCCTTTCCATGGTCACTTCTCTTATCTCAAGCTCAAAAATCAGAAATACAAAGATGGGGGCGGCGACTACATCCACCATAATTTTTCACCGAGTACAATTTGGTGTACAACAGAAATTAGAATCTCCTTTTCTCTACCATTTCCATGGTGTTTCGCTTCTCTCATCTTGAGGTCAAAAATCAGAAATACAAATGAGATCCAGTTGAAAGCAAGCTGCTGTATTCATGGTGCTTCTTCTCTTATCTTGAGCTCATAATTAAGAAATATAAAGAGGTCGTTTTTAGACGTTTAATGAAAACCAGTTGGAAACAAGCCGTATTCACCATCTATCTGCAAGAAAATTAGAAAAGATGTGTTAGTCAACAATAACTTGGTCTCTGTTTTATGCAGAATTTCAGAAGTCTAGAAGATATATGGTTTACCTGCAACTAGTTTAGTTTGAGAATAATACGAGATTATGTTTGCCATCATCATACCAAACATCAATGATTTTCTTCGGTTTAAGTGAGCTGGTTCCAGGTTTGCCTCGTTGACAAGTTTAATGATCTCCAATAAATTCGGTTTAAGTGAGCTGGTTCCAGGTTTGCCTCGTTGACAAGTTAATGATCTTGTGTATGAGACCTCAACCAATTCTTTTCCAATGACACTCAACGAATGCGGTTTGGAGCAGGTTTTGCCACTTCAGGAGTCCCAAAAACATTCCAAAATCTCAGTTTAGAAGATATATGGTTTACCTGCAACTAGTTTAGTTTGAGAATAATACGAGATTATGTTTGCCATCATCATACCAAACATTAATGATCTTCAACGAATTCCGTTTAAGTAAGCTGGTTCCAGGTTTGCCTCGTTGACAAGTTTACTGATCTTGTGTATGAGACCTCAACCAATTCTTTTCCAATGACACTCAACGAATCCGGTTTACGTTTAAGTGAGCAAATGGCTCCGGGTTTGCCTTTGGTGCAGGTTTTGCCACTTCAGGAGTCCCAAAAACATTCCAAAATCTCAGTGTTTCATCCCCTGCTGCAGAAGCAACCGTACATCCATCCGGGCTCTGAATTATTAAACTAGAGAAATCAGAATATGATATACAACAAAAGAAGAAAAAAAAATGCTAACTTAACAACAAACTTTCAGAAAAATAAAAATTTCAGATTAAGTTATTACTTGAGCCATGAAAAGAACTCTGGATGTATGACCAGTAAGCTCTGCTACTTTCACCATTGATGGGTATTTCCAAAGAGTGAGCTGATTCTGAGTAAAACCATGAGAACTAAGTAGCTCACGCTCATTCTTGTTCCACAACAGAGAGCAAACCTGAGAGCCTGTGTCAACCGAATTCAAGCATGCTCCAGTGTGGGTGTTCCAAAATTTTATACACCTGTCACCTCCTCCTCCACCAGAGGCCAGCAAGTTACCCTGGAATGGGCACCAAGCAAGTGCTTTCACTGCAGCTGTGTGGTCTTCGAGCCTGTGAAGCCACTGTGTTGGGGAATTAGAAGAAGCCACTGATCTGTCCCATATATGGAGGAGATTGTCATTTCCCCCACTTGCTAATTGCTGGCCTGAGGCTGACCATTTTAACCCACAAACTTCTTGATGGTGTCCCCTATAGGTTTCAACTACATGTGATCTGACTCTTACATCATTGTTGATGATTTGACCATCCATTCCTCCTGTTGTCAAAATATGATTGTTCCAATCCAGGGACCCAACTCGTGATTGATGACCACCTCTCAAAGTTCTCAACTGCAGAAGTTACACCATAGTTAAACACAGTATTAGCAAAACAGAATTTTAAAAAAGAGCTAAAAAGAATAGGTAACAAGAAAATATGTAAAAAGAGTATAAACCTGTCGATTGGCTGTAGAATCCCAAAGATGTACTTCAGAATTGTTTAAGCCAACAGCTATGTGTCGGCCATCAGGAGCCCATTTTACGCTTGTCACTGGTCCATTTTCATCATCAAGGGTGACAAGTTCTGAGGTAGAACCATCAGAAGCATCCCATAGATATACCGTGTTTCCAAGAGCAATGGCAAGAATATTGCTGCTACCCCAATCTAATAAATTCAAGTAGTAATCATCAACCAGATCGGGAGCATCTAATGTCCTCTCAGAAGTCTGCAAAACCACATTAACACCATTCAAAATCAATTATAAGAATTATGCCTAAGAACATCCATTCAATAAATCCTAATTGCAAAAACAAAAGACACAAGGAGATTCTAATTTAAAGCAGGGGTCCAAGCTATCAAACCAAACTTCTAAGTTTACCCTAGCCACTTCAAATTCAACAATCCACACACTATCCAAACCAACAACATTTCTAACTAAACAGGTAATAAATTTGTGTAATTGGTAATGTCCCAAATATCCTTATAATTGATTTTGATAATTTTCAAGTTCACTCAATATTGGGAGCATCTTGTTCACTTTCCAGTACCCATTCCAAATCCAAATTCAACTAATTCTTTAATACCATGAATTTCCAAAGGTGGTATAATTATCAATAAAAGATTAGAATATGTATCCACCTGGGGAATGTACCGACGGGGCTTTATTGGTTTGGACTGGTGAACAGATGAGGAGAAATTGCAGGGAATCGCCTCAACAGGAGTGGGGGGCTTGTTCTTAAAAGCCAGTATACGGGTCCGGTTCATGTTGAAGGTTTCTGCCAGTTGCTTCTGGTATGCTTCCCTGGATGGAGAGCTCACAGCCGGGTTCTCTTTGCCTTTCCTCCCCTCGGTCAGCATGTAATGTGCGTAGTCAAAATCCATTGCAGACCGATTTGGTATGAATCTATCCAACTGTTGACGCAAACAAGAAAATTACAATGAGTTCCACATAAACATGTGAATTTCAGGAAATGTATTAAACAAAATCATTGCTTCATAAATCCAATTATGAAGAAAACCCTATTTCCAAGCAAATTAAACATGAAGAGAATTGCAACAATGATAAGGAATAAACTCACAATAAGAACTAGTGAGGCATACAAATATAATTAGAGCTTGCATTAAAAACAGAACCCTAGCTACAGAAATATAATTATGCAAAAAACCATAGTTTTAACAGAACCCTAGCTACAGAAATATAATTATGAAAAAAAAAACCCTAGTTCTACAACCAAGCAAGAATTCTTGTTCTAAATATTTACCCTAATTTGGATATGAAATCAAGAGCAGATAAACCCTAATTTCAAAATCATGTCCAAAATAAACCCTAAATTTACATATAATATTGAGAAACCAAACCCAAAATTTGATGCAGGTGAAAAACCCATCTAAATTTAGGTCATAAAGCAAAACGCATGCCAAATATGAATCCTTGTTCCCTGTTTTGGATATGAAATCAAGAGCAGATAAACCCTAATCTCAAAATCTTGTCAGAAATAAACCCTAATTTTACAAATAAAATTGAGAAACAAACCCCAAAATTTGATGCAGGTGAAAAACCCATATAAGTTTAGATCAGAAAGCAGAACTCATGCCAAATATGAATCGTTGTTCCAAACATATACCCTAATTTGAATATGATATCAGGAGCAGATCAACCCTAATTTCAAAATCATGTCAGAAATAAACCCTACATTTACACATAAAATTGCGAAACAAAACCCAAAAATTTGATGCAGGTGAAAAACCCATCTAAATTTAGATTATAAAGCAAAACTCATGCCAAATATGAATCCTTGTTCCAAACATTTACCCTGATTTGGATATGATATCAAGAGCAGATCAACCCTAATTTCAAAATCATGTCAGAAATAAACCCTATATTCACATATAAAATTGCGAAACAAAACCCAAAATTTGATGAAGGTGAAAAACCCATCTACATTTGGATCATAAAGCAAAACTCATGCCAAATATGTCTGCTTTACATACGTTTTCTCGAGCATTTCTCCTTTGCATAAACTGTTCTTGAAGAGGGCATCGAGACTGTGTCTTGCTTAATGAAGAGATCCTCCTAGATCCTGCATCCATAACGTTAGCACAAAAAAAAAGAGAAAGATACCTACAAAATCAAAAGGGGAAAAAAAAAATCCCTGCAAAACAGAAAACCAGATTAAAGAAATAGAGTTTTAGAGAGAGAAAATAGTAAGAGAAAGAGAGAGAAGACGACGAAAAATCAATTGCCGCTGGCTTCGTTGATTATTGAGATAGAGAACACGATGAGAAATCGATGGAGGCTTCGGTGATTTTTAGCTAGTATTGATCACAGAGAGCGATGGTGGAATATCACACAGATTAGACAGCGTTATATAGTGCAAAAATTAGGGTTTCCTTTTTAGCTTGGTGTGCCCGTTGCTTACAGAATATCTGAACATTGCAACGGCTAGTCGGTCTCGAGATTGTAGCCGTAGGAAGTTGGTTTGACAAAAATACCCTGGGTGAGAACCGCTGGCTAAATTAAGATTCAGCCTTCCCTGAAGGGCAATGTGATAATTTATTGGGTTTGATAAAGATTTTTGCTCTCGTGATATATATTTGAACCCTCAGTTTAGGTCCAATATAATTGGGCCACAAGTCTGATTATCTCTCACACCCTTATTATAGCGAAGGTTTTATTTATTTATTTATTTTTATTTTTTTGAAAACACCAACCATTGTTTTTTTTGAGATATTTGACAAAATAAAATTAAACAATAATTTTTTTTTTTAATTGCTCAACTTATTAAATCCTTTCCAAAAGTTATTATAGTGGGAATATTTGAATTCACCTTTTTATATGTATCATCCACCTACAAAATATTAACTATCCAGCTAGATCTAACATTGATTTATTATTAAAAATATACTTATTTTTGGAGTTTATATATGTATGGTGGTTAATTATTGAATGTTTTAAGAGGTTGTATATTATTATTATTGACAAAAATAAAAATAAAAATAAAAATAAATAAATAAATACAATCGTTTAATCGTTTGATATGATAAAATCATAAATACAATGATGACGACCCATAAGTCACAACTAAGGGTGGCAAAATGGGTCATAACCCATCAACTCGTCCATATTTGTCCGCTTTTTAATAGTTTTGGGTGAACCATATTTAAAATGGATGGGTAATTTTTAACCACTTAATTTGAGGAGTAAGATGGGTTGAATATGAATACCGATATTCAACCCATATTTCACCCATCACATAATAAACACACATAACACAAATTTATTCTATATTACACTCAATTCATTTCTCCCTCTCTAAAATTCTCTCACTCACGATCCTCTGTCTCTAAATTTGTCTCTCATCAATCCCCTCTCTTTAAAAATTTCTTTTATATCTTTTACTTCTCTCTCTTTAAAACAAGTCGATAAATATTGTTGAGTTTGAGATTTTTTTTTTTTTTTATTTGTTATTAAATAAATTTTAAAACCTTTCGAAAAAAATAAATTAAAAAATAATTAAAATAAATTGAAAATAAAAAATAATTAAAATTTTAAAAAAATTAATAATTAAAATTTAAAAATAATAATTAAAAAAATAGTTAAAAAATAATAATTACTGGGCTCACGGGTCATAACAGGTTGGCCTTATACATTTTTGACCCATCCATTTTCAACCTGTTTTGAATGAGTTGAATATTAGTATTGATCCATGCTTGACCCGCCCATTTTCAATCCAGCCCAACCCGTCCATTTGCCACCCCTAGCCGTAACCTATGGTGTGGGAATACTTGACATGTGGGCCCCAGGTCATAAAAGCAATCAAGGCGAGCTCGCTAGCAAGAAACAAAAGGCTTAATTTAAAATTTAAAAAAAAAAAAAATGAAAGGGCTCTTGCACTCACCCTCTGCCCAAACAATCTAATGAGCCACCTTTGCTCATTTATTTATTTTTTTTTCTTTTTTAAAAAAGTGCTCTTTTCCTTTTCTTTTTCTTTTTTTTTTTTTTTTTTTTCTCTTTGCTTCATTACCTCATGATTTTTTTTTAAAATTTTTAAAAGAGCACTTTTCCTTTTAAAATATATATATATATATATATATATATATATATATAATCTTTAAATTTGTCAACAAATATATGACAAACAAAAAGTTAAAAAATAATATTTTATTCATCACAAACAATAAGAAAATTACATTTTTTTCAATATTAGCTAAATTTATTCCACAAATATTTCATGAAATTCACAAATAAGTTTTAAATTTATTTTATAAAAAAAATTTATAATAAAATAAAATAATAAGAAAGTGGTTAATACCATAGAAGCTCTCTGCATTTGTGGAGAGCTATGTCAGCCCAATTTGCTGATGTGGTTCTCCGCATTTACAAATTTAAAGAGCCTAATACCCATTGCCCTAACATAATTTCCTTGCTTTTGTTTCCGACATTATGCTAGTTGGCTATATAAGATGGTTTTACACAACAATTTAATTTATGATTATTATTATTATTATTAGTATTATTTTGTAGAAAGTAGTAAAAGATCTCAATGGGAGATGAATGTGTTTGAAATGTCAAGTTCTGATTAGTTACCTAGTGAAATTGACAAATGTGTTTGAAATGTCAAGTTCTGACTAAAGTTACCCTAGTAAAATTGACAATTAAATGCACACGCTTATGAATAGATTCAAAAATAGAAATCAAGGCCTTGTTTGGTATGTGTTCTGTAATGTTTTGTTTTGTTCCAAAAGTGCTACAATGACAATTTTCTGGCCAAATCATGTTTGTCTGGACTTGTTTTATTCCCAACAGTATCAGAACAAATCCATTATTTGGCCTAAAAACTGAAACACAAAATTGGTGTTTTATGTTGTTCCAAGCCCATTTTTCATTGTAATGGGGGCAAAAAAAAAAAAAATTAGGGCAAATCATTTCTTCCTCCCGATCACCTCCATCTCTTTTCTCGTTCTCAACTCTGAACTTGCCCTCTCCCTCTCTGCAACTGCAAACTACAAAGTCTACAAGAATTAGAAGTTCAAAACCCGCCTCCATCTCTATTCTTGTTCTCAGCTCTGAACTTGCCATCTTTCTCTCTCTGCAACTGCAAACTATAAAATCTACAAGAATCAGAAGTTCAAAACCCGCCTCCATCTCTATTCTCATTCTTAACTTTGAAATTGCCATCTCTCTCTTTCTCTCTCTGCAACTGGAAACTACAAAATGTACAAGAATCAAAAGTTCAAAACCCGCCTCCATTTCTATTCTCGTTCTCAACTTTGAAGTTGCCCTCTCTCTCTCTCTGCAATTGCAAACTACAAAATCTACAAGAATCAAAAGTTCAAAACCCATATATTTCAGTTTATCTATCTGTCTGCAAGAATCAAAAGTTCAAAACCTATTACCTATATCAAAACCCATATTCGCATATCATTTCAAATTGTTCAAAAAATCAAAACCCATATCTTTGAATTTAGGGATATTTTTAGAAAGTATAAAATACTACCAACCATGTTATACCATGTTTTTGTTCCAAAATTCTCATTGCAAATTTTAGTCGCCAAACATATTTTGTTCTCATTTCAGAACACCCTATTACAAAACACTTGTTCTATTCTAGGCTAAAACAAAATGCCCGAGAACACAACGCATATCAAACGGGCCCCAAGTCTCTCTCTCTAACTTTCTGTGTGCAAAAGTCCTCTTCTTTTCCTTGTTTTTCTTCTGCTCCTACTCCTTTCCATGGGAGTGGGGAGGTGCTACCTTTACCTCCCACAACTTCAATAAACTCGGCGTGTGTTAATAAGTTTGCTTTGAGTGTGTTTTTCACGCCGTTTTTACTTTTGTTTAGGTAGATCTACTCATATTGGGCTTGTTTCCGACTAGTATGGATGGATCTGTTGTTTTCTCTTTGGCTAGATCTTTGATCTATGTCAGTTTTGGCTGTTCCTGACTTGATCTGATTTTGTCCGAGTTTGGGTGGTTTTTTCCCCGTTGGAGGCGCCTTGTGGTTGTAGCTTTGGAGTTGTTGCCTTATGATGGCCAAGCCTTTGGGTCTCTCCAGTTGCTGCTCTTCTCTCTTGGTGGTTTCCGTTCTTGAGCTTTGGCTTTTGTTCTTAAGCTTTGGAGTTTGGGTGGTTTTTCCCCCGTCGGAGGCGCCTTGTGGTTGTAACTTTGGAGTTGTTTCCTTATGATGGCCAAGCCTTTGGGTCTCTCCTGTTGCTGCTCTTCTCCCTTGGTGGTTTCCATTCTTGAGCTTTGGCTTTTGTTCTCAACAAATTTGGAATCTGTTCGCCATTTTTTCTTGTTTTGCTTCAAGATTTGTATACCTTTATCTGGCTTGACTTTTGCCTCTATATGTTGGCTTGACCTTTGTGCCTTCGCAATGATAAAAATAAAATAAAAATAAAAAATAAAAAAGAGAAATTGACAAGTCACAAAAAAATTGATGAGGTCCTTTTCACTAAAAGTTTCATCTTGTTTTTTCACTTGCTAGTTTGAAATTGTTTGGTTATAAGAACAGTGATTGTGTTAATTGGAAAATAAATTGAAATTTGGTGGCAATTTCAAACAATGTTTTGTTCACCTTTCTATAATATGTACATGCCTCTGCAGACCTAATACTTCATTTGATTAGAGTGATGAAAAAATGGATGAAAAAAATATGGGGACGGATGGATGAGGAATTCTATGGAAGGGAAAATGTCTCTCCAATTTTTTATTTGGTTTAATGGATAGATAGTAGCAAAGGGTAGATGAGATGAATTCTTTTTTTTTTTTTGGTTGGAAGGAATAAAAAGAGAGTTTTTATATTTTATACCAATATACCCCCCGTATAAAATAATAAAGGGTAGATATTCATTTGAATTATTTGAAAAGGTTAAAATTGGAAATTGTATATTTGTAGGTAGTTATTCACTTTTTTTCTCCTCCCTTTCCCAAAATTGGGCCGATAGAAAAATATTAAAGAAAGGAGGTATACTTCATCACTCCTGCTTCCTCCCTCTCTTCCCTTCCCTCCAACCAAATACGAAAAACTTCATTTATCCCTCCTCAATCCATCCCTCCAACCACATATAGCATAAGTCCCAAGATCAACGAAGAAGTCAAGAAAGAGTCTGCTCTTCATTTTTTTTTTTTGTTTTGTGAACCATTTGGAGAGTCTAAAGTGGCTTGATTTTTTGTTACCAAAAATATATATATCAGTTTGATTTTTTTTTTTTTTCCCAGCCTTCATGAAAGCTTTAAATAGCTCATTTATAGTAAAACTAGTATTTTCTAATCAAATTCGAAAATCAGATTCCACACAACAACACATAAACAACCACTCCGCAAATATCTTACTATTCTCAAACCTGGATAAAGACTGCATATATCTTGCCCTTTTCAAACCCCGGCGATGGTAGGAGCCTCGCACACTAAGTTGGGTTTGTCCTTTTAACTTCC